ATGTAATGGTCACCGTATTTGGAAATTTTGGTCGTGTGGCAGTTGAATGATGAAATGACCGACCTTCCTGTGTTGTTGCTTTTGTGTATTTTGAGAAGGAGTTAGAAGCGAACAGGTGTGATATTTTGGGGTGTAAGTGCTGTGTCAAAATTCTTAAAAAGTATGTATATATAAGTGTATATATAAAGTGCTATATATATATATATATATATATATATATATATATATATATATATATATATATATATATATATATATATGTGTGTGTGTGGGAGACTAAGGTCAACACTTAGAGGATACAGTCTGTTTCATGATTGCACAGTCATCAAGCCTGATGATTGCATTCAAGCATGAAACAGACTGTCACCTCTGGGTGTCGACCTCAGTGTTCACTTTTATATTTCATATTTACATACGCTCTATCGCTGATATTGAGCAATTTTACCTATAATTATAGCATACCTCTAAACTATACTTTTTTCATATATATATATATATATATATATATATATATATATATATATATATATATATGTGTGTGTGTGTGTGTGTGTGTGTGCGTGTGTGTGTGTGTGTGTGTGTGTGGACGTTATCGTTTTTATGAAAATTACCATATGCCGGGCGGGATTCATAAAACAATTTTTTCAGGATTCATATAAACACGTAAATAAAAAATATATTCTTGTTTTTTACATATAAAAACAGGTATTATATTATAGACGATACTGCGATTTAAATAACTGCGACTAAAAAATATATATATTGGGAAAATCAATGAAACAACACGACTAGGAGAAACAAGATAGATTAAAAAAACACGCACATTTATTTGTTTTTTATTTAAATTTTAGAAGTTATTCCGAGCTATACAGTGTATTGTTACTCAAGAGAGTGGATAACGTATCGGAAAGAAGTGTGACTAAGAATTTCAAAGGGTTGGTTGGGAGCGGTCATTTCACGAGCGAGCCTAATTTATTATCACTTTTGCTTATCAATTACTTTCTCGCCCACAGAAAAGACACGTAATTTTACTGGGGTACACTGTGTACTCATATGTACACCTAAATAGATAGATAGATAGGTAGATAGATAGATAGATAGAAACTGAGCATATTGAAATAGATTTAGAATTATGCAAGTACATGCATGATTATAAAACCATATATACACTGAGGTTTTAATTAGACACATCGGTAGATTGAATAGGATAGATAGATAGATAGATAGATAGATAGATAGATAGATGGATAGATAGATAGATTTGAGTTTCAAATAAACGGGTGGTTGGAATTTTAAATAATTTTCATTAATGAAATTTTTTGTCCCAGAATGCTCGGACCTAAAATGAAAGCATGGGAGAGTATTTTTTGAATATTTAATTAAAAATAAAATGGTGTTTGGAATAAAGATGTCCGGGGTGGATTTTTATCCCAAACCTAATAATCGTCACCGCTCATCTATTTGAAACGCATAGGTTCCAATTAATTCTATATAAAGAAGGAAAAAATTTTTATTTTTTTTCTATTAGTGGACGCTTCATTTACGGAAGTCCTATTACTGCTTGCATTTTAGTCAGTAATTTTTTTTTTCACTAAAATATTTCTGACATTAGGAAAAAATATTTGATTATCGAACACTCAAATACCAACGATGTTTACTGGAACTCCCATCCGCAAAAAATAAAGCGTCAGCCTCTCAGATATATGCATTATATCTTCTTTTGATCTTAATCCCAAAAAGAATAGTTGTGGGGGGCGATGTGTTGAGCTGTCCATCATTCTCCTTCATCTGTTACGGTTATGCCCCAAAGACTGGATCTCCAGCAACGGTTTATTGATGTACTCATCATGTGGCGTGTCTTGGGCGTTTTAACTGGGAAAAGCGCATCCTTCTCCAGATTATAACAGATTAAAATCAACTTGTTAATTTCATAAGCAGTATCCGATTACAAATATTATTTACTAAGCTTAGCTTAGTTCTGGCATAAAGCCACAAATATGGAGCTCTCAATGAGGATCGAACTTACTATTCAGTAGTAATGGCCAACCAGAAAAACCTTGCTGACCATTATTCCACGCCGAAGTTTCAAAACCAATAAAGTTCACATTTTATTAAACGTGCATACTTATTGCTAAATTCGATGGATTTCAATAGAACAACGGAGGGAATTATTGGTCTTTGTAAGAATGGTAATTTCCAAATGGAAATTGCCACTCTTTTAGGAACGACCCGCTGTAATGTGCACCAAATTTATAAACGGTATTTTGAAGAGGAATGTTTTACAAACAGACTTCTATTTGGTCTTAAACATAAATTTTCCGAACGAGACGAAAAAAATCGTCAGAAAAATGACTTGTCAGATTTAAAATGATTTGGAATTATTGTGAGCGTTTATCCTGTCAAATGTATACTTCAATGAAATTTCAGCTCAAAAACTGAACAGCAAAATAAACGAAATTCAGAAAAATGGGATATGATTCCGAAAGTGAATGGATTGCCTCCGACTAGAAAACGGCTATTTTCACAGACGAATATCTAATTGAACATTTTCAAAGTACAAGGCAATAATTGAGACGATGTACTGATCCACGGGTTAATGGAAAATATACTGCGAGTGTAGTAAACCACTCACCGGCAATTATAGTCTGGTAAGCAATTCGATGAAATGGAAAATCGTATTTATTTTATGCAATATAAATGTCAATTCAGAAGACATAAAGACATAACTCAAGTATATGAACATTCGTGCTTTTCTTAACAAAGTGGCACGAGATGTCATAATATGAATCAGCCCTATATTTTTCATTAAAAGGAAAGGTACTATACATTTCGAAAATTGGCCAAGCTAGTCTCCTGACTTGAATATTTTACAGGGTGTCCCTAACATAAACAAAAATGCATATTTTCCAGAAATTAAATTTTCAACATTTTCTTCAATTGCATTATTAGCAAATATCATCTTCAATATTATATCCACTATTTGTGATGCAAAGGTTGATGCTTTGCAAAATTCACTTGAACTCGATCCAATAAATCCACATTGCCATCAATTTTAGCACATTCACTCTTTATATGTACAATCAAGTGTGCTGCATCTGTGATTTTCATTGAGTACACCTTCTCCTTTAACCTGCCCCAGAAAAATTCAATTCTTTCTTCTTTCGACAAAACCATGTTTAATCTGTGGAGATAAAAAATATGGTTAATGAGATTTTCTATTTGTCCAAACTTTAGAGACACTCTGTAGAATGTTGAAATGGACCTAAGAATAAAGTGAAATGTAAATCCTCGGGGAATATCGATCAGCTTTGGGAGCTGACAATATCTGAGTGGAGAAATATGAATCATCCCCCTCTCAACCGAAAATAAGTTGGACTGTTTTAAGCAATAAGGGGTCTAGTACGAGATACAGGCCATTTTTTTTATAATTTCAAAGTGCATTATTTTGTTTGTTTTTCTTATTATTTTCTTTGGTTTTTGTACTTTTTGTTTTCTGAAAGCGTGCTTCTTTTGTGTTTTTTAATCTATTGTTTTAAACATTAAAACTGAGGATACCATAGACAAAGCATGTGAACAATCAGGAAGTTTTAAGGAAAATAAGAAAGAAACTGATATCTACATTCAAAAAGGGGCACATAATAAAGTAAGAAATACATAATAAGAAATGTGAGCCTGGAAAAACTAACAGTTATAAGGAAATATTGAAAGCAAGAGAAACCCATAGCTTTTTGAAAATATGGAGGCCATTAAGAGGGCAGTAAGGATAGAGTTGAGAGGCATTCAAGAAGAACCCTTCCAGCAGTGCATAGAAGCGTGGTAAAGAAGGATGGACAAATGCATTAGACTCGTGGGGGTTACCTTAAAGGGGAAATCATGTAGCTTGTTGTTTAGAATTGAAATAATCTGTTTGTGACACCAGTCTCATTATTTTTTTTTAGATAGACCTCGTACATCTATATAAATAAATGCGAATGTCAGTGTGTAGGTGTGTCACACTTTTTCAATTTTACTCCTAGAGGCCGTAGCTCAACATATCATACCATTTTGGAATCAGGCCGACTCCGTGAGGAAATTAAAAACAATCCGGGTCGGATCCGAACTCGCAATCCTGAAATTTTGGATTCCCAAGTTTGTATTACTACGATTCTTTTCGGCGATTTTTTTATATGATTTATTGCGACGAATTTTTTGTACCATAAAATTTTTTCTAACTTGGAAATAAATTTGGGAATAAATGAAATAAAAATAATGTTTGTACGGAAAGTAATGACCTACTTTCATCAAATTGTCTTTAAATTAAGTGGCCGCAGAAGAATTATCGTTGAACTTTTAAAAGGTAAGCCTGAATATTAATGCAATACTTAAATGCAGCGATCAATTTTGAGTTCTTCTGTAGTTTATTATTGCCTATCGCATACGGTAGCAGTTATGTCTCGCAAAAAGAAAACTCCGCTAGCAGACGACCAGATTGCAATCAAAAGAGCCAAGACTGCAGCGAGGAAAAGAAAATCCTGTGCAGATAAAAACCTAGATCAAACGGCAGCCAGAAGAGCTTCTAATGCGGAAAACATGCAAAGACTTAGAGTCTCAAACAACTCCTAAACAAGCCGAAGGCCCAATCAAGAGTCCTCCGTAGCAGCTAACTTAATTGTGGCCCGATAAGGCAGCTTTTAATCTAGTTTATATATATATATATATATATATATATATATATATATATATTGACAAACTTGGAAAAGTTTTTGTGTGATGCGTTTCGTCCTTGAGAAATTCACCGGAATACATTGATGTTTACCTTGATACCACGGCACAGGCGCACGAAGGATAGGGGCTGAGAATTTAAAATGTATTTATTTATTTATTTTTGTTATTTTTTCCTTGTTGCGCATGTGTAGTTGCATCAGTGTAAACATCAATTTAGTCTGATGACCAAAGGACGAAACGCATCAGACATTTTCCACTTTGTCTTACATTTTCCCCCAAAAACGTTCTCCTGATATCTAAAAATTAGATAGATAGATAGATAGATACTGGTCTATCTAAAAAGTAGATAGATAGAAAGAAAGAAAGAAAGAAAGAAAGAAAGAAAGAAAGAAATCACCTTCATGGTGGCAGTCAGTTCCACGTTTTAATGCGATCTTTAGCCCACACTCTCTTTATCTATAAATGCCCAATCTCTGATATTGAGCATACTTCATCTATAAACATAACAAATTTAAATATATATATATATATTAAATATATATGGAGAACAGAGTTCGAATTCTAGTCGCGTACGTTAAATTCATTTGTGTGGAAATAACCTTGTAAAACTTATGAATCCATCACATTGTCTCTACCTTGATATAGATTAAATAGTAGGATAGACAAGGCTCTTTAGCCTTCGTTAGCAAACAGTGAAGGCGGAGGACAATTCTAAATTCAAAACATGAAGAAGGTCGTTTGAAGGCTTTTTGTAGTAATACTATTTGCACGAGTTCTCTTCATTCATTTATTCAGAAAACCGAGTATGGTCCTTCAATATTATTGTTTCTGACCCTGGCATCTCGGGTTTTGTCACTGTGCCGCCGCCGTAACGTAGCTTCAATAAATATTTTCATGGTAATTGTTCTGCTGAGCTTTCCTGTTTAGAATCTAGATTTTATGAATTTAAGATTGGCGCAAGGTCTGACCATATTACAGTTGAAATGGCTAGATGCAACCGTAAGTTTTATGTGAACAGTTTCTCCTTTTGTACTTGTGAAATTCTCCTCTGTGAAGTTCTCTTCCCGCTTCTTGCTTACTAGTCAACTTTGATGTTGAAAAATTTAAATGCAATGTCAATCGTTATCTTCTGTCTTCTTAATACTTCTTTTTGTTTTCTCTCCTTAATAGTGTTACTCTTTTTCTCTTATTCTCACATACTCAGTAACACCCCCCTTGCGTTTTAGTGGCTTTATTGCCTTGCTTGGGTTGAAATGTTAAAAAAAATCTAATCAAATCATGGGTACAGATAATCTGCCAACTTTAATTTCTCATACATATCCACATGCAAGGAGAGTCGTTCCAAAGGTAATTTTGTTGTTTTGAAGGCTATTGTAGGTCCAATGCTCACCGAGTGCTCTACTAATAAGGCCTTGTGCCTTAGAATGTTCTGTTTTGCAAATACATGTACATAATGGCTAGCCGTTCGTATCTGAGTATGCCTGTCTACTAGGGCAGTTAGCAAATCCCTGTTACAGGAGCCTACACAGAACCTACCCGTGCTTTAACTGCAACTATTCTGAGCAGACCTTAGTTACAGTTTCTGGGAGAAAGCTAATTATCTGTTGTGTTCAACAGTCTGAATAATGCCAGTACACCCAAATCCTCGGGCATGCTGGCTTATGACTTCTTGTACACTTAATTGTTAATTCTTGATTTTTATTATGCAAAGATTTCTATTTAAGTTTTTAAATGTCCTGATGAATTCATAGGTCCACCAGTACAAACATTAAACATTTGACAGTGTAAAGCGTCAAAAACATTTATTGCCCAAATATAACTGAACTTCGAATTAAAAGCAGTTATTTTCATTGCTTAAATTTGAACATATTATTTTCTCATCATTTTTGTTGCTTTTACTTTTTGAAAGAAAAGAAAAAAGAACAAATATGAAAGTTTTTTTGGGTTTTTTTTAAATGTCGTCATTTCTAACGCAGTCGTTGGAAAATTGTTTCACTAAATCACGGCTTTCTCTAAATGTTGCTATTATTCCGATGGTTTATGCACGTAATACAAATGCGTATAATTTATTGAGTTATAATTTGAAAGCCTTGGGCAAATATCAAAATGGATTGGTCACGCTGAGTGGAGGTAGGCGGCAAGAAGACAGCTTATTTGGGTGTGTATGTCCTATCTAATATACATTTGATATGTATTGCGTGTTTAAGATATATTCTGGTGACATGCTTATGAGTAAACAAAGAAACTCCAAAAGCAATGCTTTTATTAATTTCTACAGAAGCGACATCAGATACGGCGAACATTAACAACGGGTAATTCATATCGTTGTACGGAGCCGCTCTGCTATTGACGCCACTACTGAAATGAACTACACATCTCCTAATTGTGCTCACAAATAATGTTTTAGTGTTGTATTGGTTGCTGTTGGGCACCTCGCGGCGGTGTAATGGTTAGCAAGCTTGGCTCGCTAGAACAATTACGACTGAGTAGTAACTTCCATACTCACAGGGTGCCTCCTAATTTCGGCCTTGTACCACATCTAAGCTACGTTTGATTACCATTTTGCTATAAAAATATATTGCTGTTCATTTTATTATACAAATGTATTGTTGCTTTATTAGAAAAATGTACTGTTCATTTTTGTTTGGCGGTTGACTACTTGCCAAAAACTGGGGTCCTAACCACCCCGGGTCTCTGTGGACCTGGAAACAACAGCAGTCAAGAGGTGGGTCCACGCTCCTCAAAACATCCAATCTCCTGATCAGGGGCCTTGCTACTTGGGGTAGTTTATCGTCATAATCAAGAGGATAAACTTTTGGGATTCATGATCATCAAGAAAGCTGTTTACGCACCAACAAATCAACCTCCTGAGCGACAAACAGTATGGGTTTCGCTCTTCTAGGTTCACTGCTGATGCCCTAACTGTTATTATACACATAATCAGTGAGGCACCAGATAATAAAATTATCACAAAGACGACTGTCTACTTTGATAAGGTGTTGTATAAAGGGGTGCTGCATAAATACAGCTATAGAATCTTTGGAAGCGTTTTCGCAATTATCAAGTCCTTCCAAATAGGTTGGTTCATGACGGTCGTCGTTAATGGTCAACCGTTTGAAGCACATGAGATCAATGCAGATGTTTCCGTTCTCGTTTCTTCCCTTTTTTTTTTTTTTTTGCTTTTATATTAATGATCTTTATATTAAGAACATATTCAAGTCATTAGTTAGTAACTATGCAGAAGATACAACAGTGTATGGGTGCACCTCCAGAAATCTAGATGAGCAGATCATGGCAGCTGATCTGTCCTATGATCCAGATCCAACAGATCAATGGGGAAAAAACTGACTTATGACATCCAATACTTCCCAAAGTAAACTAATAACGTTTCATCGTCACCGAACAGACCCTGAATTTTCGCCTGTCAGTGTTTCTTCTGTCAATGAGGCCTCTGGTCTTGAACTCTTATTGCAACTGGTTCACTCCAGACCTCAGATGGAACACATATATACGATCCATCGTGTACCGTACCAGAAAGTACTTGGCTCTTCCTGCTATACTCTTTATTTACAAAACAGTTTACGTGGCCGTGTGAGTGATTAATTATTTTACACTCTTTCCCACAGACAAAACGTCGCAAGCCGCTTGCTATTCTATCGCTATTTTCATGGCAAATGTTCAGACAAACTACATTCCTTATTTCCACCAGTTGTCACATCATTTAATTGCAATATACGGAAGGTTATTCGTTAGTATGAACGGATTTTATTGAAAATAAATAAACATGAGGTCTGTAATTTATTTAATCAAACAAACAAACACAACACATATATATAATATATATATATATATATATATATATATATATATATATATATATATATATATGTGTTAGTAAGTTGTAGAATAGCATCCCAAAAAGCATGGAGATAATGGGACAAAGTAGAAAAGTTTTACCGACAACGTGTTTGACCAACGTGTGCAAGGTTTGGCGTTTCTTGTCGGAATGAAAGACAAAACTGTTTGTAAGGAAAATGTGTTGTTTTTTTGTTTTGTTTTTTGTTTTTTTTTATGTGACACTATTTAGGGTTGCGAGAAAGAAAAAAAAGAAAGAAAAGGCAAAAATTAAATTTAGGTGATAAGAAGCCATCACGAAAAGGACACTATGCGATGTTATTTTTTTTTAACAAAGAAAAGTGGAAAGATTTTATTTTCATTAGCGAAGAGAGTAAGGCACCGGATTTAGTTTGATTTATGACGACGCACTGAATAAAAGATAGCCGTCTGCCATGGCAATGGTGAAGGTTTCAGGTCGGTCAAGTGGCCTACGAAACAGAAACTGAGAGATAAAAATTAATTAAGCACGCACTGACCGAAAAACAAAATGTCCGTTGGACCACCCTAGTTACAAAGAAAGAAAGACTGACCCATTAGCTATCTACGGAGATGCCGTTTGGAAAAGGCACCTGTTTTGTGTCAAGAGCTGGCCATGATAGCAAAATTATTTTATCGAAACAGTTAATTAGCGACAGAATGCAAATACGTCCAGATGACCACCAACTTGATGCTGGCGAAAATCTGATTGACGAACTCCAGGTGATTCGGTTAAGATAAGAGTCTAAGGATTTGTTGTCGAGAAGAAGAAAAAGAAAGAAAAGAAAAAGAAAAAGAGAAAGGAAGATAATTTTTTTAAACCGAGGCCAGTCTGGCCACACCCACGCCGCTGAGCGCCCATTGGCTGAATGGTGGCGGGAGCGGTAGGCGAAGGTAATCATGTGAAGAAGGAGGGTAGGCCTGTTGACGCCCCTCTGAAGGGATCGGTGTGAGATGCCACTGTGAGAGGGGGGGATCCGTTGACACCCTCTGATGGTATGGGTGAGATACCAATATGAGAAAGGAAGAATTTGGGAGGACGAAAAACTTCCAAAAATGGAAATTAATCATTCTTCCTGACCGAGAACAAAGAAAAACCCTTAATGCGGATTTAGAATTATCAAGGAACCTCAAACCCCGACAGGCCCACCCCAGTTTTGGTCGGCGTCCATATAAGCAGTTCGCAGTTGGGGTTGGAGACAGACAGGCAAGCAGTTGCAGTTTGCAGTTGAGCTGAGAGCTCTGAAGGCCCGCCTCGCGGGAACCTGACTGAAAGATCCCACGCATTCACGACCTCGACTTCTAACCAAGAACAATTTATTTTTGAAGAACGACTTAGACTCACACCACCAAAACAAGTTTTACGAATATCGCCTGAAGATACACCAAAAACAAGTTTTATGAATATCGCCTGAAGATACACCAAGAACCAGTTTCTTAAAGAACAAACAACATAAGATGTTAAGACTCACCTAAGATACACAAAGTGTCACGTATCCTTATAGCGGTTTGGGAGAAAGATGCAGTCCTGTATTCAGCAACCAGATATAAAATATTGTTATCCTTTTTTAACACATGTGAACTTTTCGAGTTATTACTTTATTTTCTTTTACAAATACTTGTGCAGTGTTACCCTTGTCCGGACTCGACTTGCATTACGGCCCGGCGACTGATTGATTTCGTCTACCTAAGATCAAATCACAACGTGGGTAGGTTAGACTAGAAATCAAAACAGTTACTTCGGTAACCAGACGTTGGAGGCGAGCTGGGAACGACAAGGCTGATACCGAATCTAACCAGATTCCCATTCGAATCAGCAAAAGGTTAGAACGTCACATTTGGTGCCGCGACCAATACCAAGTCATATTGGTCGTCACAGGACAGGATAGGACGGCGACGGCGCGGAGACAGACGGGGTGACGTCACAATTGGCGCCACGACCAGGACAGCACGGCGGGCGCGGCCAGGCAGACGTCATGTTTGGCGCAGCGACACCGGGGGACGTCACATTTAGTTAAGAAGAGTTAGAAATTATCTTATCAGAGTGTTGTTTTTTTTGGGGGGGGGTCTGATGAACGAGAGAATTGAAGCAAGGAATGGAGAAGAGAATGGAAGAATGGAATGAAGCAGATAATTGAACAAAATAATAGAGGAGAGAAGTGAAGAAAGGAATGAAGGAGAGAATGGAAGAAAAGAATGAAATAGAGAATGGAAGACAGGAATGAAGAAGAGAAGTAAGGAAAGGAATGAAGCAGAGAATGAATGAAAGGAAAGAAGAGAGAGAATGGAAGAAAAGAATGACGTAGAGAATAGAAGAAAGAAAGAAAGAAAGAAAGAAAGAAAGAAAGAAAGAAAGAACAAAGGTGCGAAGGAAAAAAGGAAGGACAAAATGGAAGAAATGAATGAAGTGAAAATGGAAGAAAGGAAGGAAGGAAGGAGAGAATGGCAGAAAGGAATGAAGGAGAGAATGGCAGAAAGGAATGAAGATGTAAATGAAAGAAAGGAGAGAATGGAAGAAAAGAATGTCGCAGAGAATAGAAGAAAAGGATGAAAGAGAGAATGAAAGAAAAGAATAACATACAATGGAAGAAAAGAAAGAAAGAAAGAAAGAAAGAAAGAAAGAAGGAGAAAATTAAAGAAAAGAGAGGATGGACGAAAAAAAGGAAGGATTGAATGAATGTAAAGAATGAGGCAGAGAATGGAAGAAAGAGATGAAAAAGAGAAGAGAGCAAAAGAAATGAAGGAGAGAATAGAAGAAAAGAATGAACGAGTGAATGGAAGAAAGGAATGGAGGAGATACGTTAAGAAAGAAAGAAAGAAAGAAAGAAAGAAAGAAGGTGCGAAGGAAAAAAGGAAGGGCAAAATGGAAGAAATGAATGAAGGGACAATGGAAGAAAGGAAGGAAGGAGAGAATAGAAGAAAGGAATAAAGGAGAGAATGGCAGAAAGGAATGAAGAGGTAAATGAAAGAAAGGAATGACGGACAGAATGGAAGAAAGAGAGAATGGAAGAAAAGAATGAAGACGAGAATAGAAGAAAGGAATAAAGGAGAAATTGGGAGAAATGAATGAAGTAGAGAATGGAAGAAAGAATGAAGGAGAGAATGAAAGAATTGAATGAAGTAGAGAATGGAAGAAAGAATGAAGGAGAGAATGGAAGAACTGAATAAAGAAAAGAATGTAAGAAAGGAATGAAGTAGAGAATGAAAAAAGATAAGAGAAATTGGAAAAAAAGAATGAAGCAGATAATGGAAGAAAACAATGAAGGAGAGAATGGAAGAAAAGAATAAAGGTGAGAATGGAAGAAATGAATGAAGGAGAGAACGGAAGAAAAATTGAAAAAGAGAATGGAAGAAAAGGATAAAGGAGAGAATGTAAGAAAGAAATAAAGGAGAGAATTGAAGAAAGGAATGTAGTAAATGAAAAAAGTTGGGAGAAAAAGAAGAAAAGAATGAAGGAGAGAATGGAAGACAGAAAGAGAGAGGGAATGGAAGAAATTAATAAAGGAGAGAATGGAAGAGAGAAATGATGAAGAGAATAGCAGAGATTAATGAAGACGACAATAGAAGAAAAGATTGAATGAGAGAATGTAATAAAAGAATGACTGTGAGAATGGAAGAAAAGAATGGAGAGGAGAATGTAAGAAAAGAATGAAGGAGAGAATGGAAGACAGGAATACAGGAGAGAAGTGAAAAAAGAAAGAAAGAAAGAAAGAAAGAAAGAAAGAAAGAAAGAAAGAAAGAATAAAATTGAAGCAAATTTCACGAAGGCAGAGAATGTAAGAAAAAAGGAGGGATAGAATGGAAGAAAAGGATGAGGAGAGAATGGAAGAAAGGAATGAAGTAGAGAATGAAAAAGATAAGAGAAAAAGGAAGAAAAGAATGAAGGAGATAATTGAAGAAAAGAATAAAGGCGAGAATGAAAGAAATGAATGAAAGAGAGAACGGAAGAAAAATAGAAAAAGAGAATGGAAGAAAAGGATAAAGGAGACAATGTAAGAAAGAAATAAAGGAGAGAATTGAAGAAAGGAATGCAGTAAATGAAAAAAGTTGGGAGAAAAAAGAAGAAAAATGAAGGAGAGAATGGAAGAACGGAATGAAGTGGGGAATGGAAGACAGAAAGAGGGAGAGAATGGAAGAAAAGGATAAAGGAAAGAATAGAAGAAAGGAATGAAGGAGTGAATTAAAGAAAAGGGTAAAGGAGAGAATGTAAGAATGTACGAACAAAGGAAAAGAGCGTCAGATTGAAATAATTTACAAAATGGCGGTGAAATAAAAAGAAAGATAATAATTTCCCTTAATCTATACGATTGTTCTATTTGATTGTATGTACAGACGTTACGCCTGTGTGCATATTTAAACAAAAATATCGACGCGCAACAAAACCTGCAAAGGATAAGGGAGTAAATTCGAAGATACAGCATAAAGATGAGAGACGACTACTGGCATAAGACGATGGATAAACTAAGATCTAGCGAGACAAGTTATAAACTAAATTTTAGATGTAAACTCAATTTTAACTTCAATGTTTAAGGAAAGTAAAAAAAAATAAGTCTTGAACATTTGTGTCGAATGAAAGAAAAATACAATTTGAATGAAGCAATTATATTTAGAGGGAATGGTCATATTGAGTAAACTTTATTTATGACAGAATTGAGTATGAAACTCTTTAGAATTGATTTACATGACCAACATCATAACAATTTCACCATATATGCATGCTAAATAGATGAATGATGGGAATATCTGAGATTTTATAAGTATACGTTCATTATGTCAGAAAAAGAGATGTTTCTGAAAGACTGTTCAACATGTAACGCCGGAGATGACTTCACTGCCGTTTCACCCACTCATATTTATATATATTCACACGTAAATAGAAGCAGAATGATAAAAAGTGCAACTGGTGTATATATATATATATATATATATATATATAGTAAGAATGCAGAAAGCACTGGATCGCCGTTTTAACCTATATGGGAATCACCAGCAGTGCGCATCCACCACCGAGATTCGAACCCGGATCGTTTCGATACAACGCAAGCGTAATAACAATTGTAACAACGGGCCTCGGTGACGAAGAAGAAACTGAATAGACAATAGTTGAGGATTCTTCTAGACTCAATGAATTACTATAAAGATTTGTCTAAATCCCCAAATTATATATATATATATATATATATATATATATATATATATATATATATATATATATATATATATATATATATATATATATATATATATATATATATAGATAGATAGATAGATAGATAAAGAACACATTTTGACAGATAGAGAGCATATTTTCATCGATAGATAGATAGACAGACAGAATAAGTTTGATCATTCGAAATGGAATGAGAGAAAGAAAAACTAGATTGAATATCTAGTTCTTAGTAAAAATAAAATAAAATGTTTCGATTTTATTCGCGTAAACACGAAAGATCAAAGAGATTAGGAAACTGAAGATATTACGGAGAAAATGCGTGACTTTTTTTCTGAAAGAACACAAATCGAAAACACGACAGAAGGATAAAGGAAAAGATAATCGTGATGGTTTAAAAGAATGAGGAATAGTAAAGATGTCTGCGGTTCAGAAGAAAAAGAAGAGGCGGAGGAGAAGAACAAGAAGAAAAAGGTGGATGAGGAGGACAAGAAGAAGGAGGAGGATAATAATTATTATTATTATTTTATCGAGCTCGGGGCTTGTGTAAAACTATGAGATTCAAAAAAGAAATATGAAGGAGAAAAATCGTGACTTCATTGAGAGAGAAAAGTAGGTTTTCGTGAAAATCTGGCAGTAAACGGGACAAAAGAGAAAAGAGTTATAAAAAGAGAGACAGAAAGAAAGAAACTAAGATATGTGCGAAAGGCGTGATTCAGTTTTGCATAGAATTTGTTCTCCATTTTAAATTACGAAATAGGATTAAATTTTTTTTTTTTTTTAGTCCTTGCAATTTTTTTGTTTGCCGTATTTTTTACTTTTGAATTTTATAATTTATTTATTCCTTCAACAATTCCATTCATTTATTTCCATTTTCCTGCATTTCTTGATTTTATTTTTTCCGTGATTTTCTCGTTTTTTTCTTTTATCTTCATTTGCCTATTTTTGCGTAATTTCTTCCTTTTTCCTTTCATTTCCATTTGTCTTTCTTTTTTCTTACTTTCTTCATCTTCATCACTCTTTTTTTTCTCTCGCTTGTTTATTTTTTGACTTTCTCTCTCCCTTCGTTCAACCCCTCTTTTTTCCTTCCCCTTTCACTTCTTTCCCTTCTTTCTCTTCCTATCTCATTCATTCTCACTACCCTCTCTCATTTCTCTCTTTCTCTATCGCCCCTTTATCTCTTTCCGCTCTCCTTTCTCTCTTTCTCTTTTTCTCTCTCTTCGTCATCCTATTCTCTCTGTATTTCTGTTTCTTTTATTCTTCTATCACTTCCTTCTCTTCCTCTCTCTTTCTCTCTCGTTCTTTCTTTCTACCCTCTCTCATTCCCCTATTTTCCTCCTTTTTACCTCTTTCCTTCCTCGCTTTTCTCTTTCTTTCTTTTTCTCTCTCTCTCTATCTCTCTTCGTTATCCTCTCTGCATTTTCTCTTTCTTTGTGCGACTGGTGCAAGATCAAGGTCATCTACACCGGCAAAAGATGGGGTGTAAATCTATAAATTACTTCTATAATTAGTTTTACAGCGAAAAACAAGCATCGGAAAGATGTGTGTGGAGAGAGACAGAGAGAGAGAGAGAGAGAGAAAGAGAGAGCCAGAACAGAGAATGAAGGAAAAGAAAAAGAAAAGGATTGCCGTGTTCAGGAGGCGAATGGGTAAGGCAAAGCAGGTTTTCTAATTAATAATGAAGGAACAAGTTAAGACACGGCGTCGCTTGGGCAACTGACGTGTGTCACGTGATTGCGACTTCCGAACCAGATTGATTACAACGCCTACTGGTGACGAAGTTTAAATACAGCTCTTTCTTCGGCAAATTCAATTCCGATCTACAAAACAAAAATAAATAAATATTATCACTGACGAAAAAAACAAAAACATTCGTGTATATATTTTTTCTAAATCGACATGGAATGCAGGAATTCGTGTTTAACACACTTGCTTCTTTTTTTTTCTTTTAAATCAAAAATCAAAATTAGAATCAGGTTTGCTAAATCTGGCACAAGGCAACAAAAGTGGAATACCGGTTGAGTACTGAACTCACTACTGGAGAAATGACCTGCAAGTTTAGTTTACTCGTCATTAAGGCCCCGAAAGAAGTTCAAATATATCCGTTAAGGGTCAGTCAGTCAGTTATGTGCCATGCGGGATAGACGAGGCAGATTTTTCCCGCATTAGGTGGACATTTCTTTCTGCAGTAGACCAGTTGCTATCCAAGGCTATAGAACCCAGTCTATATTTACTCATAGCTGGGGGAGAAGAAGATCCATACTTTTCCCAAGGGTATTAGCACGTAAGTGAATATAATGGATTCGACTGGAATTCGAACTCGGCTCTCCGATTACTCAATCCGAGCCGCTATCCATTACTCCATTAAAGGTAACAACATCGAAACTAACATCAAATATCATCGAAGTCAGTCATATTTTGCAAATTCATGAGTAAAGTAAGCTTTAGGGTATCAAGGGCACTACATGTAGTGCGGCCAGAGAAGCAGTTGTGTATCTTGAGCAAGATAACCTGGCGAAACTCATCCCTCTTCTGGCTGATTTTGAATCCAGACTGTAGGCGGATTGTCATCTCAGAGCAAGAGAACCCAGTGTGCCCTGCTATTTAATTTGCAACTGAAAGAAGATGGATTAATGTACTTTTGACGAGCGAATTAAACGAAGCAGAATCGAACTCGGCACGCCGAATTCATTTGCCGATAATCGTTATACTATCAACGCCGCTTAACCGTTATGATGATATTCTAAAATTAAATGTGGAACGAGGCCGAATGTATCGATCGAACTCACTATTCAGTTTAATTAATCTAGCGAGATCAGCTTGCTAACCATTACACCATGTTGAGGTGCCTGAATGATTTTCGTGACGTAGCTTAGATATGGCACACGGCCGAAAGTACGGCGCACCCCGTGAGGATCGAACTCACTATTCAGTTTAATTAATCTAGCGAGATCAGCTTGCTAACCATTACACTATGTTGAGGTGCCTGAATGATTTTCGTGACGTAGCTTAGATATGGCACAAGGCCGAAAGTACGGCGCACCCCGTGAGGATCGAACTCACTATTCAGTTTAATTAATCTAGCGAGATCAGCTTGCTAACCATTACACCATGTTGAGGTGCCTGAATGATTTTCGTGACGTAGCTTAGATATGGCACAAGGCCGAAAGAATGGCGCACCCCGTGAGGATCGAATTCACTATTCAGTCGTAATTGATCTTGCGAAAAAAGTTTGTTCACCATTACACCACGTTAAAGTTCCCCGCCTCCTGCCCGTTATGTATGCACACGTCTCGCTCTTATTTAAAGCCATAAAAATGGCGACATATTAAATGTTGAGGTAAAATTTTTAAAAAACAGCTATATGTTTAGTTTTTTATTTTTTGTATCTGTTATCTTCGGTGCCTAATATGTAAAGCCACTGTCTTAGATAGCTAGGCTCTCTAAGAATATAACCTATTTTTCTCAGAGTGAAAAGCTGTCTAGGGCAGATAGCTAGGCTCTCTAAACATTCTAACCTTGACGAAGACTTTGTTTTATCCACGCTACTTCTTTTTCTTTTTATGTGCCCTGTCCTTTCAGGACGTAGGCGATCATGGCTCTCCACCTCCCTCTATCCCTTGTAGTTCTCAGCAAGCTCCTTCCCTCTGCTTCCTCCCCCAGACCACGTTCAGTCATCTACCTGCTCAAGTTCGTCAGGTATATCACGCGCTGTTTTCCTTTGTCTCTGTTTCCCTCTATTCAACCCATGAGTATCAAATTCTCCAGGCCCTTCTTCCTCATTATGTGTCCCAGAAACTTCAACTGCCTCTTCCTAATATTATGCATAAGCCTCCTCCTTGTTTGCAATCTCTGTAAGATCTCATCGTTGCTCACACGCTCGGTCCATGATATCCTTAGCATCCTTCTGTAGAACCACATCTCCGTCTCTTCTTCATCTTTGAGGAAATCGTCCAACATTCGCTGCCGTAAAGAAGAACAGATCCATGCTGCTTACTAACGATAAAATGACTGAGAATATTTAAGGGAATATTTGGCTCACAGCATTTTGGCCGTTGCCATCTCTATCCCTCTTCAGGCGTCTTTTTGCTTATATGAAATCTCTAACAAAACCCTTTATTCGCTGAAAACTGTTCTAATTCTGTTTTCTATACTTAGGGGATACCTCGCTACTGACTTTGTGTCGCTTGTCCGTTTCTTCCACTGAACCAGAATATGTGACTTTTTAACATAGCCAGACCCTAAAATTGAACTCATGCAACTGCCAGGATTCTCTCGGGAGTTTCTTCCACAAAGTAGCAGTTCTTGGGAATTTTTTTCTTATCACTGGAATGAGTTTGATTCGACTCTATATTCGAGGTAAACTTTACTTAGAGCTACAAAAGATAGGAAGTTGTGGAGAGCCATGATCCACGAATTCCTGAAGGGACACGATACATAAAAGAATACTTCATAAGAGCATCACATACGCGTACAGTAAGCAGCCTGTAACCTTGTGTCAAATAACATAGTACTTAATAAATAAAGAAAAAACAAACAGATCACAAAGTTTTTTAAAAAATCCCTAATATAAAAAAATGTTTTACTGTATATATATATATATATATATATATATATATATATATATATATATATATATATATGAAACACAAATGTAATAAAATCTAGTTGTTCTGGAATCAGAAATCTTATTCCCTTTTGTCACTAATATTAATCGAACCGGTCCAAAGATCGGATCTGACGCCTTAGAGAGTTCAATTTAAAGCACTCACAAGTACAGTTCAATACTAAATCGTTTAAATCGAAGAATGAACATGTTTAAGCTTTGGCATCTATCGAATGGGGAATAACGTTGCATTTTAAAATCTATGTACGTGCGTACACACGGAGATGTAAATAGACCGCTTCATAGTTTCGCTTACATAAAGTTATTTTTAAAATTTAGCAAAATAATAGAAAGCCTGAAAGGCATAAAACAGGAAGAAAAAAATACTTTGAGAAGAAAGAAAGAAAGAAAGAAAGAAGATCGAAGATCGAAAGCATTTTGGCAAACAAAGGCATAAAATACAAGAAAGAAAAAAAAATGGTAGAGAAGGAAAGAAAAGCATATATTTAGAAAGAGAAAAAAAGGAATTTGGTAAAAATAAAAAAAGGAAAAAGAAATAGATTAAAAATAGTAAAGAAAGACATTTTTAAAAAAAAGAAAGAAAAGATTTTGGCAAAGAAAGACATAAAACCTAAGAAAAAAAAAACATTTTGTAAAGAAGGAAAGAAAGAAAGAAAAGCACATATTTTGAAAAGAAAAAAAAAATTTTGTAAAGAAATGAGAAATAGCATAAAAATAGTAAAGAAAGAGATGTTGAAAGAAAGAAAGAAAGAAAAAAGAAAAAAGAAAGAATGAAAAAGAAAGAATGAAAAAAACAAACAAACAAAAACAGACAAAAAGAAAGAAAGCTAAAAAGAAAGATAGAAAAGAAAAAAGAATCTTTCAAACACAAAAACCAATGCAAAGAAGAATTAAGAGTGGGGAAATGATATAATATAACAGAAGGAAAGGTGGGGAAATGCAGCAGCAAAAGAGAAGAAAAAGAGAAAAAAAAAAGCGAGACGTTCACATTGTGAATAAGAGAGCGAAAGAGTGAAAGAGTGAAACGCAAGAGAGAAAGCGGGCAGACGTTCAGTGAACCATTATCGAATATTTTGTCAGCTTCTCTACTCGTCATTGACAAAGTCGATTCCGACATGATTGATGTTGCTTCGTTGTTGAAGTTTTACAGTTTTTGCCGATTCATTAATCCACCGAATTGGCCCCTGGGAGATCGTGAGCGACGTCGGGGATGAATGTAGAGGCTTTGATGTGACAAGCAACGGACAGATAGAAAAAAAAACTGCAAAGGAAAGACAAAAAAAGGAACGAAACAGATAATTTTTGTCTGAATTTAGAAAGATGGAGAACTGTCATTAATATACGTTGATTTACTTAGACTAGTATTTTCATCTTCGTTGTTATTGCTACAAAGTTTTGAATGTTGTATTCTCCAGGTGTCTATCGAAGTTAGGGAATTTCAAATTGAACCCCCTGTTCAATCCACAAAAGTAAGTTGTTCACATTCCGCTGTATATACCAGGGGAGATAACTCGTATAAATTAATTCTTCCGAGTTAATTGGTCTCTTTTGACTGAACCGGGTATATCGTTTTGTGGATAAAAACGTTACGGAAGTAAATTAATTGTAACTTTCAATATCAAACAACAACAACAAAAAAGTATCGCTTCACCATCGATGATTCCACGCTGACTTCCTCCAGCTACGACAAACAGTTGCATTCTCAATTACTCCATGTTTTGAACGTCTACTGGATCTCAAGTTTAATGCATTGAAACTCATATATGCAAAACATCGCTACAAGATGCTAAGAAAATGCGATTATTATTTTATCGATCCAGGACGTACCTGACTGCTTCTGACATGCTTTATTTTTACAAGAACCAGAATCGAACAAAAATAGAGTATTGCTACCAGATCTGGGCTAGGGATAATCAGTCTTCACTTTCCAGTCTTGGTAATGGTTTTCTAAGCGTAACATAGATGTGGCACAAAATCCAAAATATGGATCACCCAGAGAGAATCTAACTCCCTATTCAGTCATAATTGTTCTAGCGAAACATGTTTGCTTAACCATTACACCACGTCAAGGTGCCGAAATGATTTTCCAAGCGTAGCTTAGATACAGCATAAGGCCGAATGTGTAGCACTCAGTGAGGATCGAACTCACTCGTAACTGATCTTGCAAGGCAAACTTGCTAAACATTACACCACGTCAAGGTGCCCAAATGATTTTCTAAGCATAGCTTAAATGCGGCATAAGGCCGAATGTGTAGCACTCAGTGAGGATCGAACTCACTCGTAATTGATCTTGCAAGGCAAACTTGCTAAACATTATACCACGTCAAGGTGCCCAAATGATTTTCTAAGGTTTTGAAGAGTCGAAAGTTGAGAAGTCAACATTATTTGCATGCCGGTTGAAGTATACTGAAGACTGGTTTAATTATTTAAGTTAGGCTATTTATATGAAAGTTTTGGATCACAGGAAGTTAAATGATAGATTTACCAAATTTAGAATTTTTATTAGTTAAGAAATATATTTCCCAATTTTTTAATGTTGATTTTTTGGTGGGAGGATATTGTTAATCATTTTCCTTGATATGAGCTTTCATTTTTTGAGCATACGACACAGAAATGGTCATCTGTTTTTTGAGCTGCGTTTCATGAAACCTCTCTGATTGGTCAATAAATGCTACTATGGAAATTTGAATTTGACAGGCGTGTGATCCTATTTTTTTGTGTAAAATTGATGTCTGTGTTATCTTACTTTTGCATAGAATTCAGATCTTAGTTATACTACTTAAATCTATTTATTTTCTACCATTGTAAAACTGGGTTCTACATGAGCATCATTCTTTAGTTCCACCAGTTCAGACACTTGCATCTAGTACTCACCATGCTATTTCCACGCAATCGAATCACCTTCATTTCCCTTCTGTTCCAAATGTAAGGACAAAGCTTTTTTCTTAAAGACCTCCTACTCTGTAGAAGAGACACCCTCGTGGATGCTTCTTTGAACACTACAATTTGAATCTCTTCAAATCAAGGGTCAATCACTATTTATCTTTTCCTCATAAGCCAATACCCACCTTGCATTCCTTACGCGTACCAAAGTCTTCCCCCCACCCAACATCCTTCCCACTTCAAGTCTGGGGTCAATAGTTATCTATCCGCCATATCCTCGCAATCTTCACTCCCTAATTCCTCCTCTTACGTTCATATCAGTCAGTCAATCAGTCAGTTATGTGCCATGCTTGATACACGCTTAAGCGATCATATATTTTTTCCGATACAGACGAGGCAAATTTTTTTCTGCAATAGGTTACAATTTCTTTCTGCGGACAGAAGAAGAGGGTTCATACCTTTCCCAAGGGTATTAGCACGTAAGTGAATGTAATGGATTCGACTGGAATTCGAACTCGGCTCTCCGATTCCTCAATCTGAGCTGCTATCCATTACTCCCCCCCCCTGATCATATCACACAATCTTATCCAGTAACCCTCTACCTTGTGTAACTCTTTAGCCTTGTGTTGGGTGAATCTTATTAAAAAATACAAATTAATGATCAACCTCACTACGGTAGAAATAATCTGAAAGACTAGCCTTTTATTCTTCTTCTGTGTGTCAGGAAGTTAATGATCATGGCTCTTCACAAGTTCCTGTTTTTTGTAGCTCTTTGTCTTTTTGTTATTTCTTCTAAACCCTGTCCCGCTATCCATTTACTCAAGCTCTCTAAGTAGGTTATGCATTGTTTTCTTCTGTCCCTTTTGCCTTCAATCTGTCCTGTGCGCATCAAATTTTCCAAGCCTTCTTTCCTCATAATGCGTCATAGAAATTACAACTGTCCCTTTCTAGTGTTAAGTATAAGTGTCCTTTTTCTTTCCATTTTCTATAAATCTTCGTCGTTGATCACATGTTCAGTATTCAACATCCTTCTGTAGAAACACATTTCTGTTGTTTCAAGTTTCTTCTTCATCTGCGAAGAGATTGTTCAGCATTCACTACCATATAGGAGGTAACAGTTCAGTACTCTTTTATTTGATTCTAACGAGATTTTTCTGTTTTGCCGTAAAAAGTGCAATATAAATTTTTAAAAGACTTAGCTTAATTTGGCTCAGTAAGGTCTACGCATAAAACGTAGTCTTTTCCGTATAGGCTGTAGGAGAAGGTCTTTCAGTTAAAGGAAGTTCCCGATTTGTACTGCCTCTTCTTTTCTGTTTCGGGAAATTTGCTTCGGAAAATGAGTCGCTTACCTGGTGGACATTCTGTCGCCACTTTTCCTTGTTGGCAATCACTGAAAGTAGTGGATTTCTCAAGATATGAGCGTCCATTTTCGGAATTCCTTAAATTTCTTCAATATCTCCTTTCTTCTTCATCAGCCAAAGAAATGTGGCTATGTAGCTATGTGTGGTGTGGTGGTTGGGAGTGGGGGGGTATGAATTAGTGAGTCGCGAAAATATTGGTAAGTGGGGCGTCAAAGTCACGATTTGATGCAAAACAAAACCGAAGGCTGACATGAATTTGAATTAGGACTGAGGACAGGTGGAGATGGTAGAGTATAGAGAAAATGGGCAAAGTATGGGCAAAGATTTGGGAAAATAATGACAGAAAAAGTGACAACCGAATTCAGAATGATAATGATTGTGAAGGTAATGATATTGATGGCAAGGATAATTATTAAAGTGACTAGGATAATAACGATAATGATCGTATCGATGCTGATGAATTTGCAGTAAATGTAGGAAAAAGGGAGGAAATCAATTAAAAACAAAGGAATTACAACAAGAAATAACTTTCGAAGAAAATGTTGATGATAGCAATAAAGTTAATAATAAAGTACAAATAAAGTACAAAAAACATTAATAAAGTACAAATAAAGTACAAAAAAACATTAATAAAGTACAAATAAAGTACAATAAAATTAATAATAAAGTACAAATACATATAGATAATACTGACGAAATGAAAAAGAAATAATTGTAGTTAGATCCGAATTCATTGCAATAAATTAAGGAATCATTATAAGTTTTGTAAAAGATGGTGATTATAGGAAGAAAATAAAAGATAAGCAGATTTACCTCCAAAGATTCTCTAACAAATGGGCATACCATGGTGAAAAAAGGCCCAAAACTTAATAAAAACGGAGTTCTATCGTTAAAATCTGTATGTTATTAACTGGAACGACCAAAGGATTTTTTTTATTATTAAATTATATTTTTTAATCCTTTTTAGAACATTCAAAATTTTGAATAAAAATTTTTTTCTTGCTTCAAAGAGGTAGCAAAAATTAGTACGGGAAATTTGATCGTATTTTTGTGGTGACATCCTTGCAAAAATAAGAGTTTAAGGATTTTAATGAAACTTTCAGTACTTATTCACAAATTAAATAAATTATTTTAGAAACGTTTCTTTTTTTAGAAAATTTTGGTAAAAATATTTTTCTTAAATCTATTAACCCCCCCCCACACGCACACACTTATTTAATTTTATGAAATTTCGAGAAATTTATTTTTGTAGGGCTTAATGCTTTTATTAATTATAAAGAATAATTTAAGTCATCAAATTTTTGGTTTAAACAGGATTGTTCTAAATAAAATAAAAAATGCAATAAAACTAAGATATTATTTAATTAGAAAAGTTTTAATTACTTTTATGAATAAAATATATTAATTGATAATATTGTCGTAAGAAAAATATTCGATGAATAATGAAATATTGCAAGAATTGTTTCCATTTTTTATTTTAATTATAATTATTTATAAAGTTCTAAATCTTTTAAAATTCTGTACTAATTTGTAGAGCTTAAATTTGTAGAGCTTAAATTTGTCATTAAAATCCAGATGCACACACGCGCAAACATACATAAATTAACACCACAATACAAAGACACGTGAGGTCTACCTGACCAATGAAAAACAAATAGAAATACTGGAACTTCTCCTTCCATCATTTATTTCCCCAAAACTACTCACGAAGCTTAAATAAAAGCGAAATTTATAAATGTTTCGTATTTGTTCTCGAGATGAGAAATCGGAGAGTCGAGTTCGAATTCCTGTCAAATCCATTACATTCACTTAAGCGCTAATACCCTTGGGAAAGATATAAATCCTCTTCTTC